ACAGTATATAATACATATAACATATGTGTCAACTGACTATATTATTGGTAATGCTATTGGTTAACAGCTGGATATTAGTAGCTAAAGTTTTTGGTGAGTCAAAAGTTATGCATGGATGTTCAACTGTGCAGGGCACTGTTGCCCCTAACAAAGGTCAACTGTATATATACACAGTATATACAGGTCAACTGTATAATATACACCCCTAGACATCTATATACACACAGCCCTATACATATGTATATATGCTAAATAACATTAAATATTACATTAACTACGAGATAATACAGGGGGTGCCAAAGATGTATACATAACTTAAGAAAAGAAAAAACTACATTAAAATGATAATACTCGATATATACCGATAACAAAAGATGAATACAAGTCACATTTGAGCATTTCTTGTAGTTGGCAGAAGTCAAACATGATTTTAGTACTACAATTTTAATATAGGTTTTTCCTTTCTTAACGTGTGTAGATTTTTTGGTACTCTCTGTGTATATAAAAGCACTTTAAACCTCCTTAAACTCACATACATGTGAAGTAATAAACTAAAGTAGAAACACATTCACATATACCACACAGACTCCTAGAGAGAAGGGATCTCATTTCATCCATTTACATACCCCTAGAGTACGAGATTATAATGAACCAACATAGAAGCTATTCAACAACTACCTGATAAATGAACAATAGTGAAAAGACAAGCCGGGTTAAGTGGCTCACATCTGCAATCCCAGCACTCTGGGAAGCCAAGGCAGGAGAATCACCTGAGGCCAGAAAGGCAAGACCAGCCTAGGCAGTGAGACTCTATCTCTACAAAAAAAATTTAAAAATCAGCCAGGCATGGTGGTGCACACCGACAGTCCCAGCTACTTGAGAGGCTGAAGCAGGAGGATCACTTGAGTGCAGGAGTTTGAGGTTGCAATGAGCTATGATCAGGCTACTTCACTCCAGCCTGGGTAACAGAGCAAAACCTCATCTCATTTTTTAAAAAGCAAATAACGGGGCAGTACCTGTGGCTCAAAGGGGTAGAGTGCCAGCCCCATTATGCAGGAGGTGGCAGGTTCAAACCCAGCCCCCCGGCCAAAAAAATAAATAAATAAAAATAAAAAAGCAAATAATGGAGAGAAAGATATGAATTTAGTCTAAATGACACAATAGACAAGCTGCATCCTCTGAGTTACACGAGCAATAATCAACAATATCCAAACAGTCTGCCAGTTATGCTTACTCCTTCCAAAATGGCTTTGACAACTTCCTCGCTGCTGGACACACCCCACAAGAGGGTACACGCTGCTGCTCCCATTTCTGTACAATACTCTGCCTGCTGTAGGAGTTGCTGCTTCGCTTCATTCAGCTGCTGTCTAAGAATGAGTTTCTCCTGAAATTTAAAAAAAAAAATGAATAGACTTAATTTAAGATGGCGGGCAAGTAGCAGCTTTTGTGTAACCAGGCGCAGTGAGAAGGGGGAGAGAAGGTTTCAGGCATCTCTGGCCGGTGGGTTTTATCCAGAGACTGTCCTCTGGTGACCCAGGAAGTCAGTGAGAGACTTTAGAACCCTACGAGGAGGTCAGAAGCAGTGGAAAACTGGCAAGTAGTGAGTACTCATTTGTTTGGTCAGAGGCTGCCTGCAGCAGGAAGCAGGAAGAGGAGACTGCAGCAGGAAGAGCCTTGCCTGGGAGCTGTTTTGGTTTGTCTGGACTTGGACGCTCCATTGAACTGCTTTGGGAGACCTGGGGCTGGTGTGTGGATGACTTTGGGCACTGTCTGGGACCCTGGACTGAGCTGCTGAGCCAGTAAGGAGCTAATGCCGTTCAGCTGTGGGCTGCCTGTGCAGTTTCTATGGGGGAGCTGCTCCTGCATGGTGCAGCACGGGGATGGCCAGGCGTCCTTGGGCGAGTAATCTAGTGACCAAGCTGCCCAAAGGCGAGGGCTGTGACGCTGGAGGAGAGCAGAGATCCAGGTGTTTGTCAGATTAACACCCTTGGCCCTCAGGAGCATTGACAGAAACTGGATTTGGCGCAGAGGATAAGCAGGCAGCCTTGTCAGGAGAGATCCCAGAGATAAGTGCTTTCCTTAGAAAGCTTCTGCTTGCCCTAGGCCCACAGCTTGGAGGGTCTTTTAAGTGGGCCTATGAGACATTCAGGCTCCTAAGCCTGCGGGATCTGTGAAACCAGTTAAGGCCTCTAGTTTCCATCTTGTACAGCTGCATCAACTTTGGGATTAACTTCTCACTCCTCAGAAGATCACCTGTTGCCCGGACAGTATTTACAAGATATATATATTGCTTGTTTTTGGTTTTTGGTTTTGGGGTTTTTGCTTTTTTTTGAACTTCAACTTCTCTTCCTCTTTTTTTTTTTGACACTTTCTCTAGTCTATATACAACCTTCCATTTTTGCCTTCTTTACCAATTAGAATTTTATTTTTGTCAGTGTTTCTGCCCCTATTTTTTTAACTTCTCAACTTTATCCTTACTAGGGGTTTTTGTTTTTTTGTTATGGTTTGATTTATAGCATTTTGGTCTCTCCTTTCTACCTGGTGGAGATGGGGTACTGTGTCTGAGCCAGCTGGCACAGAGCTGTTGACCTCAAGGTAATCACCTAACCTGGAACCCCTAGAGATTGGGGGTCCTTGAGGTTGAGTCATAATACCCTACTATACACCTTTACTATTCTTGTCTTTTTCTTTTGCTGTCTTTCTTTTTTTGTTAATATTTCCTTTTATTCACCCCCCTCTTCTCTCTCTCTCTCCCTTTTTCTTTTTTAATATCTTTTTTCCCTTCTTGCTCCTCAATCTTTTCATCCTTCTGGTCTTGTACCAAAAGGACTCATTAGAATTTTAGGCCAGTAACATAGTAACTCAGAATAAGAAGAAGTGAAAGGAAAATTAGGGTAAGGAAACAGATATAAGAAAGTACTCATGAAGAAGAATCAGCAGAAAAATCCTGGCAAGGGATCGCGAGGTAGCTACAGCAGAAAATTCCTCCTATAAGGAAATGTTAGAAATGACAGAAGAGGAATTTAGAATACATATGTTGAAAATAATGAAGGAAATTGCTGAGAAAGTGGAAAACAATCAAAAAACAATGAAAGAAATTGCTGAGAAAGTGGATAATAACCAGAAGGAAATTCAAAAACAAAATCAAATAAGAGATCAATAATACGAAGAATACAGAAAGGACATAACAGAGTTGAAGGAACTGAAGCAGTCAATCAGAGATATCAAAGACTCAATAGAAAGTATTAGTAATAGATTAGACCACACCGAAGAAAGAATCTCTGTGATAGAAAATAAATCCCTCGAGATAACCCAAATTGTTAAAGTGACTGAAAAGAAGAGAGAAAAAGTAAAATGCTCGTTGACAGAATTGTGGGACACTATGAAGTGGTCCAATATATGAGTTATAGGTATCCCTGAAGGGGAAGAAGAATGCCCCAGAGGAGTGGAAGCCATTCTAGACTAGTATAATGAAAACTTCCCTAATATTACCCAAGATTCCGGCATACCCCTTTTTGAGGGATATCGGTCCCCTGGTCGCCTTAACTCAAATAGACCTTCCCCAAGGCATATTGTAATGAATTTATCTAAAGTCAAGACAAAAGAAAAGATTTTTCAGGCTGCCAGGAGTAAGTGCCAACTGACCTACAAGAGCAAACCTATCAGGGTGACCATGGACTTCTCTAATGAAACTTTTCAAGCTAGAAGACAATGGTCACCTATCTTTAACCTACTTAAACAGAACAATTTGCAACCCAGAATTCTATTCTATATCCTGCTAAGTTTAGCTTCT